CCTATCTCTTTGCCTTCTCACTCACACCACACTATTCTTGAGGCCCTTATCAATCAAAACTACTACTCCATTTCTATTCACGACTGTCCCTATGTACCAAAGCTTGAAACCTATATTGTCCACCTCCTTCGTCTTCTGACCCTTTCATTTAGTCTCTTGAACGCATAATATATTTACACGCCTCCTAGTCGCGGTATCAACTAATTCTCTTAACTTACCTGTAAGCGACCCTACATTCCAACTACCTAAACGGATCCTAGTTGGTTCGACTAGCTTCCTTACCCTTCACACCCGTCGACTCAGATGTGAAGACCCTTGCTCATTTTTCACTACACCCGGACGCCGATGTAGCGCGCCACTAAGGATACGACGATCCGATCCTTGCTCACTTGACACCGTGCCCATATCGCGATACGGTGCGTCACGGGTATGATAAAAAAACAGAAAAACGTTTTCTTTGGCAAACAGGAGGGGTGGTCCCCTACTGGATTTTTACTTATTTGATTGAAGACGAAAAGTACAAAGAAAAAAAAAGTTATTGGCTTTCATTTGACGAAGATAAAAAATGGCTTCAAATTTTCTATCATACCAAAAACGTGGGTTTTTTTCCCAAGTAGTAACAGTGCAGACTATTCAACATTTATTTTGAAAAAAAAGTCCTATTTCTCGAAAGTGAAGAAGGGCACACCATTCAAGAATCAGTTCACTTAGTAAAAAAAAAGAATCAGTTCACTTTGCTGTATGTTTTTTTTTTGGAAATATTTCCTTGGAGATGTGACCTGAAAACCGTACGTGCTGCCATGGATCCAGGTGCCCACGCGATCGGGAAGTCGCACTGCCCGTCGATCGCCAAGCGTCTGCGCAACTACACGGCGCACAACGACAGCGACCCGACGCTGGACGGCGCGTACGCCGCGAAGCTGAGGCAGCAGTGCCGGAGGCGCAGGGACAACACGACGGAGCTGGAGATGGTGCCGGGCAGCTCCACGACGTTCGACACGGCCTACTACGGCCTGGTCGTGAAGCGGAGGGCGCTCTTCCACTCCGACGAGGCGCTGCTCAGGAACGAGGAGACGCGGGCGCTCGTGTACCGCTACAGGGACGGCGCCGGGTCGTCGGAGGCGGCGTTCCTCAGGGACTTTGGGGCGTCCATGGTGAACATGGGCAGGGTCGGCGTGCTCACCGGCGACCAGGGGGAGATCAGGAAGAGATGTGCCTTTGTCAACTAGCCATGTACTACTACTCTGTAGTATGTGATGATGCCTGTGTCAATTACTCGATCATTGTTACCCGGCCTCTTGCCTTGATTAAATGCTGGAGTTTCACGTAGTTTGAAAAAATCTTGCATTTTACTATATAGATTTGGGAACGTTTTAGGGGTTTTATATGATTGTGAACGTTTGGGTTGACCTCATTTGTAACTGTGACTTTGATGGAATGTGATAACATGTTCCATTTTGTGTGGACACGATGTTGCAGCATGCCGCGTATGGCAATTGGCGAACAAGAACTTAGAACCGGCTTTGACTTTGGAACGGAGAATTATTTTCCCTTCCCAACCACCACCAATAGAGGATATTCTCCCCATCATTTTACACCCGTAGCTGCTGCCGAGATCAAATTTCGATCTCAGATAAGCTGCTGGCGAGATCGAATCAACGGTGTGTGCCGCCCTGTTCGTTTCGCTGAAATTTGACTTATGTTGATGCTTATGCTGATTTATTGTGAGGAAAAAAACACTATTCGCTGAAAAGTACGGCCGAAAAAGGCCGCTTCCTTTCCTTAGGTCCAAACTTCAGAGTTCAGATAATAATGACTTGGTTTTCTCTGTGATACAACACTGACTTCCCGTTTTCATCTTCAGCTTGCTGTATTGTCGGCTGTGACTTCGTCCCCCACCTCCATGGCTCTATGCATATGGAAATGTCTTCTTGATAACGTAGTTGTCCTCCCATGTTGTGGCACCATTCGGTAAACTTGTACAGCGCATAAGGACTCAGGGAATTGCCTAATTGCCCTTCTTGACGAGCCGTCGTTCAACGATCTGAGCTGGATTCTTCAGATTGACCTGTGGTGGCAACTGAGCAAAAACTGGAGAATGATTAGCAGCAAAGCTCTTGAGCTACAAGACATGGAATACAAGATGAACTTGTGAACCATTTGGCAACTCCAATTTTATATGCGGCAGCACCAATATGTTCCAAGATCTTGAAAGGGAAAAAGAACTGTAAGCCAATTTGGGATATGGCGTTGATCACAGAAGTTTGAGCATACGGTTTGTGCTTCAGGAGAACTTGATCATCGACTTGATATTCATGATTCGTTATGTGGTCATCAGCTTGCGCCTTTATGCGATTCCGACCTGTAAGCAAATGAGTGCGAAGAAGCTCGGTTGCATGAGTTGTCTCCAAAGCATTATTTGTTCGTTGGTCATATGTTCTCAGGCCTTTTACCGAGTGTTTGCTTTGCCTGTGTGGTCATTCATACCACAAAGCGTTGTATAGGTTTAGTTTTGAGATCTGGAGCTATTCACAGCGTAGGTATAATTTAGATGAAAATCAATTTTCTAGATATTTGTATAATCCAGAGTGCTTGTAACGTGTTGATGTACCTATTATCTAATATAATTCTTCTTTCGTCGCAAAAGAAAAAAGAACTAGCACATATAATATTGATTCAAGAGAATATCACGCTTTCATATATCGGTGGACTAGTAAAATTAGAATTTTTTTTGTTGATAAATACATTTTACTAGATCTCATTAATAAATGAGATTATCGGTTTTATTGGAATTTTCTCACCTATAAAATTTTCGGTCAGGCTAGCGCCCGAATGCCCACACGCATACATGTTGTTGTTAGCACGCCTGCTAGCCGCTTGCGCTTTGCCTTGCCGCTGCATGTATGCATCATGTTATGTTCGCATTCGCATCACGTGGGGCCCACATGCATGCTATCCCGCTCCCACTGCATCACGTGGGGCCCAACAGCTGTAGCAGGCGGATGCGGTAGGTGGGTCCCACTGCAACATGTGTAACATCAAATCTACTTTTGTAATATCTAGATGAAATACATGCAAACATACGTCTGAAACAGTTAAAACACTTGCAACATACGTCTAAAACACTAGAGAAACACGTGTATAGCCATTTCAAAACACTTGCAACACACGTATGAAACACTTGAAACATACGCTTGCAACATGGATGTATATGCAACATCCAAATCTACTTTTGCAACATATATAAGAAAACAGAGCGAAACATTTGGAACATACACTTGAAACACCATTGCAACATCCTAATATACTTTTACAACATTGATATAAAACACTTGCAACATACATATGAAACATTTGAAACACTTAAAACAGACGGTTGCAAATATGCGGTTATAGCGCAACATCTCCTTACTGCTTGGGAGAATGGAGACTCATCGGCGTGGTGGAGTTCCCCCGGTGTAGAGCTCGCTCAGTGGCGCAAAGATCGTCATTCCGAGAGAAGGCCGCTGCTAGGCCACACCACCATCCTCGTCACCGGCTGGCCGGACCCGACCGTTTCCCGCTCTTCTCAGCGTCGCACGGAAGAAGAAGAAGGGCAAAAAATGCATGTTGCAAAGCGTATGTTTCAAGTGTTTCAAATATTTCAGTGGTATGTTGCAAGTGTTTTAGATGGATGTTGCAAATGTAGATCGGGATGTTGTATATGTTGCGATGGTTGTACACGTATATTGCAAGGGTATGTTCCTCGATGTTTTATCTGTGTTTTCGGACGTATGCTGCAAGTGTGTTTATTTGGATGTTGCATATGTTTCACGCATATGTTGCAAGTGTTTTATTTGGATATTATGTATGTTTGCAACGGTTTTCTAGTGTTTTCAGGTGTTTTCATAAGCATGTTTCAAGTGTTTCATCTATCTTCTTTTTCTATGTTGTACGTGTTGTATCTAAATGTTTTAAAAGTAGATTGGACGAGTGCAGCGGATCTCCATCTGGTCGGTGTGGATCAAATTTCCAGCGGTGTTTTCTCACCACCACGATGGTTAGTGGCGGCGGGCAGACCACGCCTGCAGCAATGGTCAGCGGCAGCTTGAGGCAGCTCTCGGACGGGTGCCTTTGGGCAGCGCGTGCCCCGCATGGGCACTGCATGTGTGGGCGTCCGGATGCCCCGTCCGGATGTGCGAGCTCTAGCAGTGCCGGTGCGCGGGCGGCCTTCACCCCGGCCGATCGTCGTGAGCTGCGCGGGTGGAGCACTGCGGAGCTATGCGTTGGCCGAACTCCGCTGCGGTGATTTTCTTTTGAGAAACTATGGTGTCTAGAGATTTGGATGAGCGGATAGGAGGGAATCGTTTGGGCTTGCGTCGCGGCCCACGAACGTAAGTGTCCGGGCGGACGGACACTGTGAGGAGAATATTACTGTAAAAATTTCCCTAACATGAACTAGGGTGCTGTTTGTAGAGAATGAAGACAAGAATTCCCACTGTTCCTGCTCATTTGCAACCTGTTTGGCTGGCTGGGCTGGATCGTGGGTTATTTACTGTTGGATGGTTTAGCTGGTTTGGTGTGAGAGAAAAATACTATTTCAGCTTATAATCCACGATCGTATATGATCGTTTACGGCCTGCTGAACAGGCCGTTGAAACATAGAAAATTTTCTTTTCCTAGCTTTTCTCTTAAAAATAAATTAATTTTTATGAAATTCCTGCTTTCTACGGTGGTGCTTAACATATTATGTGTTATAATAAAAAGTGTATAAGATATAAGAAGATTGATATATTGGAAATATTATAATTTCATATCATATAAGATTTTTTTACTACAAGGTAGCACTTAGAAGCGTTCGAGTTTTACACGACGATTGACTTGGATTAGATTATTTAATTTTCAAATAGAAAAATCCACAAGCACAGCATGGTTAAGATAAATGCTGGGCCGGTTGGGCCGTCCGAATCTCTTGGACCGTCGTCTCCTGACAGAGAGAGAGAGAGAGAGAGAGACCAGCGATGGCAAAGCCGGCACCGCCGGCGTTCGTCTACCGGATCAGCACGGGCGACGAGTGGGCGGAGTTTCAGCGTACGGGCGCCACCCTCGGAGGCGACCTTGATCGCTCCACCGGCTGCATCCATCTCAGCGACCTAAGCCAGGTAACCCCACCTTTTGATTTCTTACGGCCTACGCCCCTGCCTAAAATTCCCACAGTCCGTACTTCCGCAGAGAACTATTCGCTTGCTGGAACAGATTTGGGTTGTTCTTGCGTTCTTGAGTTGTATGATACTTGGGATAGGTCATCCAGCTCTGGAATCTATGGCTTGGAGCAGGTCTGTGTTCACTGCACAGTTGGTTTGCGCTATGTTATTTCAGAATTTTAATCCATTTCGTGGGCTTTGGTGGTTACAGAACTCAGGGTAGAGGTTTGGGGCATGCTTCTTCTTTTTTTAAAAAAAATATTTTTATAAGCCCAGGTGTTCACAGTTCGATCGTGCTGACGGTTAACGCTATTTAGGATGACTGTCAATTGACCATAAGATAATGCTAAATATGTTGTATGTATTTAAGATACAGAGTACATAATGGGTTTTAGCTGTAAGCATGCTGGAGCCTGGAACTGCAGTAAGACATTTCCTGTGAGCCTGACTCGTAATTGTGGGAGGGTTCAAATTGTCCATAGACAATCGATAAAACTAGCTTTATTACCAGATTAATTACAGTTTTGTTCAGCTAGTAACACTGGCTGGAGATAGATGGGCCATGAGGTCATTAAATGCACAGTTTGCAGGGAAGCAAGCTTAGAATATGCATCTATCTAGATGGACTGTTTAGACTTGCAAATATATATGTAATTCTTCATTAATCTTTCTTAGCCAAGGGGGGCCGGAGCCAGTATGGCCTCTACTAGGCTCCGCTAGTGGTGTATAGTATGATTCAATCTTGCAAATGGATACGCTTGCCAACTCATTTTGTATTTGTTTACTCGTATAACATTTTCTTCCTTTTTGGGCTCCTTCTGTATTGTATTGATATATTTTACAAGACTGATATATAGTTGTGTTGTGCTATTCTAAAGAGCAATTGAAACTGAAGTACGATTTACCAGAAATCATCAAACTATGCAATTTTATTCTCTTAAAATATTCTGCTGAGTGCTGATATATGTATATGATTGTTCTCTATATGTGATCCCAAATAATTGTTTGAATATCATTACTCCATCAATAAGTACATTGTTTACTTATTGCCAACAAGTTAGAAACTTAAAATGTTAGCCTTTCCAGGTCCTACAAGATGCATGAATTCCATTATGTTTACTCAACGTAATTCTTTGTCATTTCTATTCTTGACTACCATTGCTATATAATCAAAGCTGGATATATCTTTTGATTTTACTTGAATGTGTTTTCAATATGAATTCCTTCCATTTTTTATGCTGTCACTCTTATATACTTTTTCCCGAGAACTGAACATTGTTTAATTCTTGGACCTGGTGAAGGTGAAGATGACTTTAAAAAACTTCTTCCTGGGTAGGAATGATCTATACCTACTGCAAATTGATGCTACCAAGGTATATTTAAATCCTATCAATTGTTAATTTGTTGCTTTCTAACTATTCTAGTATTTGCAAAGTTGTGGTGTCCCTTTCGTATAATATAGATCTAGAATGCTTTACTGCTCATGTTTATTACTTATTTTTATGGGAGGTTGCATATACACAATACCAACACACAAGTTAATTATTTGTATGCCTACATGGATAAGAAGTCATGTTGTTTCTGTTTTTCTATTATAACTTTGCCAATTTATAGTTTTCTATATACTCTCAGCAATGTGCCTATAATTATGTTTAGATAATAACTTATTACGTATTGTGTACTGAGTTTCATATGCTTGTTCTTAGCTTGCAGATGGGTTAATTTATGAGGCAAGTGATGATAATAACTATTTTCCTCATTTCTATGGCCCTGCTCGGAGCTTTGTACCTCTTCAACTAGATGTTGTTGTCAAGGCGGACAAAATAGACCTTGCAGATCCGTTGAACAGTGGATTTTGGATTATTTCGGATGATTTAATAGTGTTCTGTGAGGGAGAATAAGCTGAAACAAGCTGAAATAAGCTGGAACCTGAGCAGCCAAACACGCTGATGATTTTACCTGTGATCTGCTTGATGGAAGTGATGTACCAGGCTGATTTGGAGTCTCATCTTCATCTTAGCAATGTTCATGTGAGTTCTTTGCCGAAGCTTAGCTTTGTAAGATGTCTATATGCAGAAGTCATATATTAGAGTGACAGATTGTACCATCCAGAATTATCAACAGTTACCATGGGAATTCAGAACTGTTCGGAATTTGTCATCATGATGGATCAGGACATTTTGCTAAAGCAAATAATACAATCTGTACTTGTTGTCATGTTAACATCCAGTGCCTTGTTGCAAAAACATAATCACTCCATGTTACCAACTTACCATGGGTAACACACTTGTAATAATGATATGAATTCAAAACGAGAATGCCATTTGAAGAATTATTTCTCCAATGAGTTTATCCTGTATTAAACTAGTAGGTATTTTGTACCCTTTAGATGAATTTGAAATGCTCATTCTTATAACAACCATCAAGAAAGTGAGAAGTGACAATCGAAGTGAGTTCAAGAATATAAGAATTGATGAGCTTTGTGATGAGTTTGGAATTAGGCATCAATTCTTGGCTAAGTACACTCCTCAATCAAATGGCCTGGTTGAGAGGAAGAATAGAACTTTGATTGACATGGCAAGATCAATGTTGAGTGAGTATAATGTGAGTCATTCATTTTTGAATGATAGAAAGCCCAACATTGCATACTTCCGGGGTTTTGGTTGCAAATGCTACATATTGAAGAAATATACAAGATTGAACAAGTTTGAGAAGAAATGTGATGAAGGTTTCTTGATTGGTTACTCAACTACTAGCAAGGCTTATAGAGTTTGGAATTTGACTAGTGGTACTCTTAAGGAGGTTCATGATGTGGAATTTGATGAAACCAAAGGTTCCCAAGAAGAATATGAGAATCTAGATGATGTGAGAAGCACTCAATTGGTCAATGCAATAAAGAACATGGACATTGGTGATATAAGACCTAGAGAGGTGATTGATGTTGAAGATGACAAGAATCAAGTGCTCTCTAACTCAAATGTGCAAGCTATTGGTTCTCATGATCAAGCTCAAGCAAGTGCTAGTGATGACAAAGTGCAAGATCAAGGACAAGTGGTTAGTTTATCATTTCAACCATATGATCAATCAAATGCATGCAATCAAATGCAAGTGCTCCAACCAACCAATGTTGCAAGAGATCATCCATTAGACTCCATAATTGGTGATATCTCAAGAGGTGTGCAAATAAGATCAAGATTGACATCATTTTGTGAACACTTCTCATTTGTGTCATCCATTAAACCTAAGAAGATAGATGAAGCTTTGAAGGATGTTGATTGGGTAAATGCTATGCATGAAGAGCTAAACAACTTCACAAGAAAACAAGTATGTGAGTTAGTTGAGAGGTCTAAGGATCATAATGTGATTGGAATTAAATGGGTCTTTCAGAATAAGCAAGATCAAGATGGGATAATTGTAAGGAATAAAGCAAGATTAGTGGCTCAAGATTACACTCAAGTTAAAGGTCTTGACTTTTAAGAAACATATGCCCCGATTGCAAGATTGGAAGCAATTAGGATCTTGTTAGCCTATACTTGTGCTCACAACATCAAGTTATATCAAATGGATGTGAAGAGTGCATTTCTCAATGGGTACATCAATGAGCTTGTGTATGTTGAGCAACTTTCAGTTTTGAAGATGAGAAGAAGCCCAACCATGTCTACAAGTTAAAGAAGACTTTGTATGGATTGAAACAAGCACCTAGAGCATGGTATGAGAGATTAAGGGATTTTCTACTCTCTAATGGATTCAAGATTGTAACACCCGGGTTTAAGGACAAAAATAGATACACATCATATGTGAGCCTAGGAAGTCAAATCACACATATGGCAACAAATAGAGGTAAGATCAATAGACAACGCTTAATATATAACATATTAGTATAAATGATAAAACATTAGATAGTAGACAGCGGAAAGACTCTACATTCTTTAGGCGAAGGCTCCAAATTCACAGGGACAACTGACTGGTTGACCACAAGCCTAACTACCCCATAATCTAGCAATCTGATACTCATCCGGGATTTTTATCCAAAGTATTGAAAATAAGACAAGCGTAAGTACATGTCGTACTCTACAATATAACATAGGGTTCATGAGGCTCAAAAGGTTGACACTAGTTTAACTGTGGTTAGCTTTTATGAGTCACAATTTGAAGCGATTGAGTAGCAACAAGTTTATCTTAAGCCCATATAAACACATGATCAGGTAAACATGAATAATGAATAGCATAAACAATTAACCATTAATGATCATCTATTCCGTAAGAGTTCCAAGGCCGCTCGTGACCATGAGCACGGCTGATATACCAGTTTTACACTCTGTAGAGGTTGTACAATTTCACCATGAACCGTGATTTACCCTTTCGCCCGAGGTCACGAGCCTCTTAACCCACTACCAAGGAAGGTCGACAGGGTTCACTATGAAGCCTTTCAAAGGTTCATCTAACAAGTTAGAGCCGCTAAGGATTCCCCATCAATCAGTAAGATCCCTCCCCTAAGGTGTGACTAACAAAAAGACAAAGAAACCAAAGTGCACTCCCTTAGTAGGCTGTGGGATCAAACCAATCGGAGCCCCTCTTGCGTCTTTCGGTAACCACTAACAAGCTAGAAAAGGTCCTCATACTTAACTAAAGCCAGAGCCATATAGCACTCATGGTAAGTCTCGGTTGACCACTTACAGATAAGTCCTTAGGGAGAGGAATCTAGAGCATCACAAAAACTATGCTCTAGCCCCCTTGTTCTTTGTTGCTAAAAAACATCTTTTAGTATTTATTGCATATTCCATTAGTCAAGTTACAAGATCATGGTCTTTAATTGAGCGCTAGCATCATACTACCCAAATGCATAAACCCATAGGAATCAAGGTACAAGGTAACAAAATACTAGGAAATCCTTAGTGGTAAGCAAAGTAGACACATGTAGTATGAATTAAATGATTAAAGGTGAATAGGACAACAAGGATGATCCCATGCTATACTTGTCTTTAAACTCAGATCCTTCTTCTAGTACAATCCTTCAATGAATTGCTTCTAGATTCACCATGTATAGCTCACCGACTGGACGATATCATAAAGCACCACATAAGCATCCAAGCACAAACATGCATAACATACAAATATAACTAAATTAGAGCAATTCACCAATAAAAAAATTGAAAACTAATCTACGCATTGCTATGAGCACATAAACACAAAAAGCACTCTAATCGGAGCTACATTGATCAA